TTTGCACTTGGGAAGGATCTAGAACCTCTTTAAATTTTAGATTTCCCTCTAAATTCCCATTCCTCATTCCAAACCTTGATTTTCCAATCCTCTTTCCAAACCTTGCTTTGGATCCAAACCAAAGTGATATTTAAGTGATTCACTCCAAACCAAACTCATCGAGCCTCTCATAATTTCCATTTCAAATTCAGAATTGATCTCATTCTATCTCAATTCTCTCAATTCCTCCATTCACCAAAAACCTCACTCAAAGTTCATTATCATTAAATTCATTGATTCTCCATTGGAATCAATGAATTCTTGAGCTAAAACCTCCATTCATTGTTCTAATTGGATCATTTTCTTCCATCAATTTTTGTGCAAATTCAGATCTGGATTTTGAAGTGATTTTGAAAGAGCTTATTTGGTTGGAATTAGCTTAATTATGAAGGATCTCCATTGCTACAACAAGGATTTGCTTGGATCTTGAAGTTTTCCGGACTTCTTGCATTGGATCTATATAATTACAGTTAGATCAACAATTACCGAATCAATTCTCTGATTCGTAGGTTGGATTTTTGATCCGATTTATTTTTCGAGCTTATTTGCATGTTCATCATGTTGATCTTCATACTTGATTGAATTGTGGTTGATTTGATCCATTTGATTGTTGATCTTGCTGTTGTATCATGTTTACATGCTGTTTGAATCATGATTTGCTGGTTTAAGTTCGTGATTAAGTGATTATGTGATCATCCGGTTGATCGAATAAGTGCTAATTTGCTGAAAATGTTGTTCTGTTGTTGTTTTTCTGCTGTTGGCACAGTGTTAATCGGTTAACACATATGGTTAACTGATTAACCAGTTCAAACTTTCAAATTTTTCAAACGTTAACAGTGGTTAACCGATTAACCCAGGGTGTTAACCGATTAACACTATGCTAGAATGTCATATTTGTTGTTTTGTTTGATTGTTTGGATACCGGTTCGATCCGAATCATCATAGATCAGTGTGATGTATTAGGATTGAATTGTTTTGGACATTTTTTTACTGTTTTTGATTGTTTAATCATAAATTTGTTGACATGTGTGTTCATTTTCCACTTGGATGCATGCTTGTGTATGTGGTTCAAGGTGAGCATTTGTTTGCATGCTCGTTTGCCTTCATCCCATGCATTCTTTCCCATGTTTGCATCATTTTTGCATCACTGTTGAGGTCGAGATGCGCTTGTGGCGACTGCTTCCCCACACCATTTTTCCTCCCTCCCACCATTTTAAATGTGCATTTTCATGTTTGCATTGTGCATTTTATTAAGCTTTCTCCTTTTGTCTTCCTTTGCCATGTTCCCATAGGATTTAATCTTCCTTGTTTAAGGTTGGTTATAGACATTAGGATTCAAACCATGCATGCTAACATTAGGGTAGATTTTTCCCCTTTCAAACTCAACTTGAGGTCCACTTTGCGTGATAACATTAGGACCGAGTTTCCCTTTAGACCTTCCGTGCGTCTCTCTTCTCATCTCAAAACATTCTTAATCCATCTAATAAATACGATGAACGTTGTACGCTACGAGCATTAAGCTACATGGGGAACAATGAGTGAGGGGTATCCCCTTGCTTGTTTAGAGTGTTTAGTGTACGTCCCGTTTGGGGGAGATATGCGACACATTCGTTCCTATGTCATAGTCTTTAGTGCAACATGAATCACAAACCGAATTAAATCACTTCACTAAAAAACAAAAAAAACACTTCAAATCTTTTTCATCCTTCGGGATCATTAATCGGAAAATCATTTTCTGCAAAGAGAGTTTTGTTAAGATTTGGTTCTACCGCAAACAGGCCTCGTCCCTAACTGATAGAATGAAGGTTTAACCCAACTCGGTTTAAAACGCTTGAACCAACATGTGGTCGTTTCAGCCCAAACTACGTTTTCTCTGATTTCTCATACCAGATGAGGATACGTATGCATAAGACGCAATGTCTTGGCGAGCAACCTTTCCCCACCTTCACCCGTAGTTTTCTGAACTACGTTGACTCTGACTTTCCCATTGTACGAGGGAATACGTAGGCATAAAGCAGCGATGCTTTATCGAGTCCTTTTTCTTTTCTTTCGTCCTGCAAGTCTGTAGCTTAGATAGTTTAAACACACTCTTAGATAGACAACAAGCGTGGATCCCGTCGAGTACGACGGACGTAAGGGGTGATAATACCTTCCCCTTGCGAAACCGACTCCCGAACCCGAGATTTGGTTGCGATGACCAATCTTATCCCATTTCATTAGGTTTTTCCGATCGTTTCCTTTCCCCCTCTTTGGGATAAATAACGAAAGGTGGCGACTCTTTTGTTTTCCGCCGGGTGTTTTTCGCAGTTGTGACACATACATATCAAGAACAAAGATAACATATTGTTAGTAATTTGAAATATGAGGAGGTGTTAGGGAATTTGACAGCATACATCTCAAGAACAATAGCTTCAATGAGGATATGAGGATGTGTTAGGGAATTTGAAATATGAGGATGTGTTAGGGAATTTATGCTACTCTTAGTAAAAGGTCAACAATTTGAAATATTAAAAGGTCTCAATTGCACATTGTATCAGACCCATAAAGCACAAGCTGAGGCTTTTAGAGAAAATTAAATAAATACTTACCGCAAAAAGAGCAAACCATTTTTCTTTGACATCCGCGAAAACTGCTGTCCAATTATAGAAACCCCTATAAAATTGTTTGTTTATCGCATAATTAATGGCATTTGCTGCTTCTTTGGCCGGAACAAGCCTACAATATTGAATGAAACCAATGATGTCATATGATATAATGTTGAAACCAATGATAATGTTGAAGCCTGTTACAATATTGAATAAATATTTTAAACTTACCCGCTACCACAAGTTTGTATAATAACCTTCCCATTATCATCCCTTATTATCAAATGAGGGGGAACATTACCTTCACCAACGACCACCTCATCTGCGTCCTCATCCTCAATTTCCTCTTCATTTTCCTCCATCGGAATCTCATGTGAGGCATTATCTAGAGGGACATCCACATTTTGAATGTTTAAACCCAGAGTAGGCATAAACCTAAATACCTCAGAGGTAGAGGCATGATTAGGTGCAGATGACAATGTAGTCTGCAATGGTGGTACAGCCTGCGGCACAGGCGCAGTCCGCAAAATGGATAGTCTACGGGACCGGTGCAGCACGCACTGGTAATGGATTCGGAGCAGGTGATGGAGTCAAAGCAACCGAGGGAGTCGGAGCCAACGATGGAGTCGGAGCCGACGATGGAATCCGAGATGGTGGAGTCGGTGCTGTAGTAGCTTGTGATGACTGAACAAATGTAGATTTCTTTCAAGACATGCTATTCCGATTATCAATAAGCTTTCCAAGTGATAAGCACTTAGATTTTCCTTTTTTTTAGATTTTCCTTTCCTCTCTCACCTCCACTTCTGTTAGTCATCTGTTGTCATAAAATACAAAAAAAAAAGACAAAAATATAATAACAATTGAAGAAATAACTATAAAATGCATCTTAAAATATTTTTGGAATTCTCAGGTGATTACAAAATGCATATAAATGCATCAACAGTTGGATATTACAAAATGCATATAAACATTTGTGTTTCTCACTGAATATAAACTGTATATAAATGCATATAAACACTGAATATAAATATTTGTGTTTCTCACTAAATATTTGTGATTACAATCTGTATATAAATGCATAAATTCTAAGAATCAGTTTGTTAGAGCAGTAAATCCTTATATTGTTTTAATGATAGTTTACTAACTTGTCAAACAATTATAATCAAGCAACTTGTCATGACAGTAGGAACTTGGCCATCAAAATGCCAAACAATTACTAACTTGTCATGACAGTAGGAGCTTGGCCATCACAATGCCAATCAATCAAGCACTAAATCCTTATATTGTTTTAATGATAGTTTACTAACTTGTCAAACAATTACAAACCAAACATTAGCATGAGCAAAAAAACTAAACAGCCAGTAACTAAGAGTTGATAAACTCATACTTCTAAGACACTAAAGTGAATTCAACCAATGATAAAGGACCTGTCATGACTGATAGCAGCCCTAGGGTAAGATTCGAAACAAGCTCTAGTTATGAGAACCAATGCAGTACCAACTTTGACAAGTATTCAAGACAACTACTACTTCACAATAGACTCTAGTTATGAGAAACAACTTAAAAAAAGAAACGGGCCATGAGTTGACAAACTCATAACTTCAAAATACCAACAACATTAGGTGAATCATCTCAACAACAACATCATATTAATTAACAGCAAGCAACCCTCAAAACAGTTTTTTTTTCTAAAAAACAAAAGCCTATGCTGATCATCAACAATTCATTGTGAATCCTCTCAACATAGTGGCCAACAACCTTAAGATAACAACAATTAGCAATGAGCAAATGAATAAGGCATTCTTGTTTCCAATCGTCATGCCTTAAGCCAATGGCTTTCATAATAATTACCAATTCCAAATGACAGTTGCCAAACACAAACAAGGAGAACAAATTTAACAATGATGAAAGCAATGTTGATCTTCATATGCTTCAGCATGTGTGAATCATCTCAACAGGGGTCATGACACCAATATGTTGCCTTTAAAATGAAGGTTACCAATTTGTCACAACAAACACCAACCAACCTTTAGTATAAAAAAACAAGTTTTAAAACAGCAATGCCTTAAGAGCTGATAAACTCCATTTCAAAATAGTTTTGACAACAAAGATCATGATTTCAATACAACAATATGAACCCTCAATATAACATACACTTCAACAGTCTAGTAACAACATAACCCTATTTCCCTAGTGATAGTCACAAATTATCAAAAATGTATACAAATTGTCATTACAAAGATAAATTTATAGCAGTAACACTTAGGAAAAAGAGAAATGATAATATCATATTCATCAAGATATTAGAAAACAAAATACATATAATAAACTATAACATAGTTGTGCATCTTCAATCAATATCCTATCTTTACTTCACTACGTATCAAAAATCTCTTCAAACACATCTACTTGTGTGTCGTCACGCAAACAAAATATTGATTCAATTTCAATAGTGGGTAGAACAGGTAACATCCCATCAGACTGATATGGCATTTCATCCTCTATGTTATCAATCATCACATGACCCCTTGGTTTTGTGGTGATTGCCGCACACAACTCACGCATATCTCTACACATTTCTGGATATGGGACATAATACACTTGCCTTGCATTTTTTGCAATAATGAAAGGATCATAAGGACGATAACGCTTATCCATCTTAATATCAACAGTTTTATATTATGGATGAACCTTTGTTCCTGTGTTCTTTGTTGGGTCAAACCATTCACAATAAAAAAGTGGAATCTTCTCCTTCAAACCAAAGTAATCTAGTTCATAGATATGTTTGATTATGCCATAAAAATCATGTTTTCCTCCTTCAGCGAGACCTTTCACGTGCACACCACAATTGACAGTTTTTTTTTTACCTTTGCTCCATTCTTTGGTATGAAACTTATACCCATTTACAATGTACATGTTCCAAGAGATTGCCAATGATGAAGGACTGTGTGATAAGGCAATTATGTCTTTGTTGGTAACTCCATTTGTCTTCTCATTTACATATTTCTTCAACCATATGGGAAACTCTGTATGTATTTGTCCAGATGAATCTTCTATACTTATAGAACGAATCTCTAAGAATATGCTGCAATCAACCACACAATTCATGAGTAAATATTTATCATGATATGCATCAAGATCTTGATTGATGTGTTATGGTGCATACTTACTCAAGATACGGTTTGACCTCATCACAATTTATCAAGACATATACATGTGAAGACTTTCATTCCTTATCTGATAGATAATGTTTTACAGACTTCCTACTTGGTCGACAACCATTGTGTAGGAAGGACATTGTAGGTAGGATGTCATCATGGTCTGAACGAGGATTGTTACAAATATTTGTGTTTGGAAACCAACCAATTGAGTTGAAATAATGAGAACAAAAGTAATTTGTCTCATAATGTATATAATCGGTGCATATGGAACCTTCAACTCTAGCCTTATTTGTCACTGCTCTCTTTGAGACTCCTATAAATTTGCACATTCAATCATACCACGTCTATTAAGTTATGATAAACGAGTAATTACTAAATAAAAGCAACCACAACCATTACCTTTCAAATGGATACATCCACCGGTACTGTACTGGACCACCTAACGTCGCTTCTTTAGAAAGATGGATTGGAAGATGCTTCATTGAGTCAAATAAACCAGGTGGAAATATCCTTTCTAACTTGCATATGATATCTAGAATGTTCTCATCCAACTTAACTAAGCCATCCATCCTTAACGTATTGCAACAAAGGTCTTTGAAGAATCGACTTAGCTCGGTTAATGGTTTCCAAACCAAATCCGGCAATGAACGAAATGAAATTGGGAGTAAACACTCCATGAAAACATGACAATCATGGCTCTTCATCCCATGCATCGTACCCTTTTGACATTGGCACACCTAGAGAGGTTTGAAGCATAGCCATCTGGCATTTTGAATTCTTTCTCCATTTACAAACCAACTTGACTTCAGGTTTGGTCAGAGTGTAGCTTTCCTTTGGTTTACCCATCTTTCCGTTAGTTAAGGGTTGGAGCTCTAAGTCCCCACGAAAGCATAATTTAGCCAAGTCTTCTCTCGCCTTTTTGTTATCCTTTGTTTTATCCTTAACATTCATGACAGTGTTAAATATATTATCAAAGACATTTTTTTCTATGTGCATCACATTAAGGTTGTGCCTTAACAAGTTATCCTTCCAATATGGGAGATCCCAAAAAATACTTCGCTTTTTCCAATTATGATCAACTTCATACCCTTCAAACTCTTTCCATTTTTCTTCCCATCCAATTTCAGTCACTTTTGGAAAATTACTGATTACTGCCCATATATCTTGACCTGTGGAAACGGGAGGTGGGTCGTCTTTCACAACCCTATTTTTTATGAAACTTCTTTTACTCCTTCTGAAAGAGTGATTAGTTGGCAAGAAATGATGATGACAGTCAAACCAGGAATTCTTATGGCCACTTTTCAAGGTAAAAGCATCTGTGTGTTCCATACAAATGAGGGCATGCCAACTTACCTTGTGCTCCCCATCCAGATAACATACCGTAGGCCAGAAAATCATTAATTCTCCATATCAAGGAGGCTTTCATGATGAAGTTTTGTGTTATGGATATATCATATGTCAAAACTCCATTGGACCATAATAGACATAGATCATCAATCAATGGTTGCAAGTAGACATCTATCTTCAATTTAGGATTGTGAGGTCCAGGTATGAGACAAGCAAGAAACAAGTATGGTTTGGTCATGCACATTTCAGGGGGAAGATTGTATGGAGTAACTATTATTGGCCAACATGAGTATGGAGAAGCAGATGCTTGAATGTAAGGAGTAAATCCATCTGAACACAAACCCAATCTTACATTTCTGGGTTCCCTAGCAAAGTCAGGATATACATCATCAAAATGTTTCAACGCTTTTCCATCAGACGGATGGCGAAGGACATTGGAACTATTTTTGTTCATTTGATGCCATCTCATTTCAGTTGACGACTCGGTTGATGCATATAGTCTTTGTAATCTAGGAATGATTGGAAAATAAAACATCCTCTTCACTAGGATATCTTTGTACTTTCCCATGCCAGTCTTGCAAGGAATGAACCTAGGAGAATTACAAAATTTGCACTCAGACAACTTACTATCATCCTTGTAGTATAACATGCAACCATTCTTACAACAATCAATCTTCTTAACCTTTAGCCCTAACTTAGACACCAGCTGTGATGCTTGGTAATAGTTCTCAGGAAAACATTTTTTAACTGGACATACATTTTTAAGCATTTGTGCAACAAAATCTAAACCTTTTTTTGGAACATGCCAGTTAGACCTAATTTGAAGAAGTTGAATAGATATTGATAACATAGACTGGGTAGCTCACTCATAGATAGGCTTGTTGAAAGATATCAAATTGTCATAAAACTGTTTAGCTTCTTCGTTAGGAAACTCATCCTCCAAACATTCCTCTTGTTCCCTATCATCATTCGCATGAAAGAAACCTCCATGAGGCCTAAATGCATCATACGCCATTTGATCCATTGTCTCAAACTGGTCAGCTTGACACACATGTTCACTACTATTTGAGCCACCCCTTGTATCAATATTGAGCTCCACTACTCCATGTTGAGTCCAAATCCAATAGTCTGGTTGAAATCCATCTCGATATAAGTGAAGTCTTACATTAGTTGTTGTACTTATCTTATAACACTTGCAATTTATGCACGGACAACTTATCCCTCCCTCAGATTTACAAATGGGTTGATTCAAAGCCTTTTTCACAAACTTTTTAACCCCACGAACAAAATCATCTTTCAATCCATGTCTATCGGAATATGCTCTATTATACATCCAAGTATGATCCATTTTCTATATAGAAAACAACTAACATGTGAGTCACTAAACATTAAAACATATCTTGTCTAAATTTAGAGGAACCAATATGTTTAGTGTTGATCCTACATTGTGTCCTAAACATCATGCATCAAGGTTTCAACCGCCAAATATGAAACCAAACAAAGTTCTGATGGGAATCTAGGTTGACCAACCTCACAACAAACTTGGACAGTAAGCAAAGTAAAGAGCCAAGCATTCTTCACTATGTCATAAATGTTTGAAACTTAGTCTTGTGATGAATTCAACTAAACACACATGACAACACCCTTTCAACAGACCACACCAGCAAAGAACATACAAAGAAATCTACTAAGTCCCTACCTAGACTGCCTAAAACTTGTCATCATGGATTAGCAAACCATGATGCACAATGTGCCCTCCAATTATGGAACACTTGATGACAATATTCAATACACAAAAATCCATGACGATGAGAGTTGGTCATTACAATGCCAATTACTAAACACATATGGTTTTAAAGATAGAGATCAACAGTACTAAAAGTTGACAAACCTTAAAGAAAATGTTTACATAATTCTTGGTGTTTCAATCAACATTCATCGATGAATTAAAACTATCATAGCTTTAACAACAAGTTGTAAAAACAAGATGAAAGCACCAGTCAAGCAAAAATGTTTTGAAAGTTAAAAAACTCATGAGTAAAATCTGAACAGAAGTAGTAACAAACTTGGTGTTTACCAATGTCAACACTCATATTAATTCAAACATTGTTTTCAAAATCAATTACCAATTTGTCAAACCAACACAGTTCTAACATGAAGATCAAGAGTTCAAAATATTTCCAAGTTCAAATCCTCCTACAACTAGTTTATTATGCATTTTAAAATGACAAATGCTAAATCCAAACAATTTTATGTTATTAAAATAGATTTGACAGCAACAAACATAAGCTTGACATAACAATGTCAATCCTCAACTCTCACCATCTGTTTCAAAAGTATATATTATCACCTCTACAAAAGTAACAAACTACCTACATTACCCTAGAGACAATCTAAAAGCAACTGTCATGAGTTGAACAAACTCACACCTTAAAACAAAATGACAGCACATTGTAAATTACAATGTCCAAATCACTCAAACTAGGCAAAACCTACATGATGGGGTAGCTGTCGTTTCACTAACAGGTTAGTAAGAGAAATAGATTTGACAGCAACAAACATGAGTTCAACATAACAATGTTAATCCTCAACTCACCCTATGTTTCAAAGGCATATATCAGCATTTTTAAAAAAAAGCAATAACATGCACATACTGCCCTAATGGCAGTCTTCCATTTAACAACCAAATAAATATAATTATAAAATAAATTAATTTTAAAAAAAACATGCCAAAAAAGATAGGTTTTAATTAAAATTTCTTTCTTTTGAATTCAGCAGTAACTTATCAGATGATGACACATGGCATTGGATAAAAAAATCTACAAATAATCAACAATTCCCTCTCTCTTTCTCGTTTACATTTTGAACTAGCAAAATTGTGATATATTAAAATAGATAAGACATAAGTTATGCCAATCAATACAAGAACCAATAAAACACCTGCTATGAAAAGCTCTGCAGCAACCCTCAAAAAGCACAATTAAACCAAAAGCACATATACACCAGAGCCAAAATCACCCACCTACATTACTCCAAAACCATGCCCCTAATTCATGAGAATATTATAAAAATACACACAACAAAAGCAACTTGACCTTAATATTACAGAACAAAACAAAACCTCTATACACACAACAAAGCGATGCGATC